TGTCCCACAATCGGCACCTGGCCTGGTTTTCACTACTGATATTGAGCTTTTCCAGCGAATCTCTCCACAAATGTAATCAATTTGATTCCTATGTATGCCATTAGGTGAAATCCATGTGTATAGCCTGCGTTTATGTTTCTTATAAAAGGTATTTGCAATAAATAAATCATTTAATGTTCAGAACGCTATCATTCTATCTCCAGCCTCATTTTTCTCACTGAGCCCATGTTTTCCAGCCACTGATCCTTCTTCCCTGTTCCCAACCTTTGCATTCCAGTCGCCCATTATTATTAATGCATCTTGACTGCATGTTTGAGCAATCTCTGACTGCAAAAGTTGGTAAAAATCTTCTATTTCCTCTTCTTTGGCTCTGGTTGTTGGTGCATGTATTTGAATGATAGTGGTATTCACTGGACTTCCTTGTATGCATATGGATATATTAGCCTGTCACTCACCACACTGTATTTCAGGACAGACCTAGAAATGATTTTTTGAATTATGAAACCAACCCCCTTTTTTCCTCACCTTTTCATCCCCAGCATAGTAAATCCTCTAGTCCCTCAAAAAAGACAATTCAGGCACACGGGAAAGGATGACCTAGGTTAGTACAGTAGCTACTTGGCTTAATAGCATCATGCTTACTGTACAGATAAATCCTATCTTCTGTACCAGTCTCTCCCAGATCTGACAAAGGGTAAATCACACCACATTCGGGGAACTCCAAAGCTACAGTCCTTCCCTCAGATATTTCATTCATTCATAATTCTTTCTGCTCAGATGCATTTACCACGGTCAGTTCTGCATGGCCGTCATTCCATCTCTAGTTAAGTGTGAAGTAGTGCCACAAGAATCTCAATAGGAGGCCATTTCCGGGGGAAGGACAAAGTGCATTCCTAACCTTTTACTCAAACACGGGAGCTCTGATGGTGCTGGGAATAAAACACTCGGCAGTTAAGTAAAGGTCAGATGACAGAACATACCAGGTGATGCATGGGGAAGGACAAGGCAGTTTGCCTCTGTAAAGATGTACAGCCTCCTTAATCTTATGGTGCTAGTATTCTACTCTCTCCTACATTGTCACTATGTGTCAAAATTAACTCAATAATAGTGGGGTTTAGGCCACACACATACACGAAGGCAGATTATCATAACACTGTAGGATAGCTGGGCAAAGAGAACACCCTAGGAGCTTCCAGAAGAAAACTAGGATTCATTCAAGATTTTAGCAATTCGATTGGCTTCACCCTTTCCAGGAGCAGTTCCAGAAACTGAGAGTCACTGAAAGCATAAATACCAGGGCAAGTAATTTTAAAGAGAAGTATAGATCCATATAAACCCTTAGGGCACTCTGATAGCATAGTGGAAAGGGGCAGGACTGCCAACCTAAGGGCACATGGTTCTAATCCATCACCTGCTCTGTGGGAGAAAGATGGGCAATCTCCTGTGCAATTTACTGCCTCTGAAAATCCACTAGAGGGTCACCTAGGAGTCAGTCCTGACTATTACTAGGATCTATTATTTAAGCCCAGGGGTAGGTTTCTCAAAAGACAAAGTCTTGGAAAATTTGCCTCAATGTCCTTTTCGCAGAAAACTTTCTCCTCAAACAAAGGAAATAGTTCAAAAAGAGAAGAATGTACAATTCAAGAAACAAGTATTCCACTATAGAGAAGAGCTTTAGATTGGTATTTCTAGAGCAACTTCTAGACAGTGAGCAGAAGGATGGAGGGATTCATGAGTAGTGTGTCCAGGGAGGAAAAAGTGAGTGTTATCAGGGATGTGTCAATGCATTAAAAACACATTTACACTACGGGCACAATGTTTACAGTTGATAAGTGATGGAATATACAAAGGAAGCACAAACCCATCGTATTTAAGGAAGGGAATAATGGCATTTTGACTCATGCTTCTGTGACTCAGCTATGGGCAGTCTTGACTACACTGAGAGAATAAACTGGTCCAAAGAAACTCCACATTACAATTGAGTTGATCCCAACCACTAGTGGCCTGCAGGGCAGAGAAGAGCTGTCCCATAGGGTTTCTAAGACTATCATTTTTATGGAAGTAGATTGTCACATCTTTCCCCTGCATAGCAGTCGGTGGGTTCAGATCACCAGCCTTTGGTTGGAGCCTTCAATCTCTTACAATCAGGGCTTCTTCAATGAGAAAACAAGGGAGAAATCATATGTGTTGGTGAGGTGGGTGGTGGTTACCAGATACCTCTGGTGGACTGACCAAATAGCCATTTTGAACTTTCTTCTCCCCTGACTCCATACACTGTAAAGTCTGGAAAAGGTAATGTAACCTTTCTCCCATAGCTATGAGTAAGTAAGTAATCGTTCTGGTCTATCATAAAAAAATCTACAAAGGGCTTCTAAAGACAATTTTCATTTTCTAGTAACAGGTGGACTAATGCCTCCAGCTGTAACAGTTGCCCAACAAACATGACTGATGATGGTGGGACAGTAAGACAAAAAGAGCCGAGATACAGATTATGACACTGAGCCATCACATAGTCAATTTTCTGTTACTTACAAGTGAAAAGTATAAAGAATTCCTAACTAAAGCCTTGTGGGTAAGAAGTTGTGCTACTAATCCAAAGGCGAACAGTTCAAATGCACGAGCTGTTTAAAAAAGATGCACAAATGTAGTTTCCCCAGCATAGTGACAGCAGGGCCATAGCTGAGATCAGAGTCCAGACAAGGACTGAGTTCCCTTTGCAAACAGAGAATTCCACCCAGCGTGCCCCCCGCCCCGAGGAGATACTGGATGCCCTCTGCAAACAGAGATTTCCACCCAGCCTCCCACCTGAGGGGACACAGTGTCTGAGCTTTGGTCTTAGTTTAAAGATTAAGCTTACCCATTGTTTTGTTGGCAGCACTTAAGTTTAAGGAAAAATAAAGTCTCTGGAGATTGAACTATTTTAGGATGACTGGCTGAACCTAAATAAAAACTATAGAGAGACAGTGCCATGTGGTGAGAGGACCTCTGCCTTAGCCTTCCCTCTTTTTCTGAACTCATTTCCTCATGTCCCTGCTTTCTTTTTGCGTCCGGTTCGCAACACACAAACTCCACCCGTGTGATTTAAGGCCTCTGAAAACCCATAGAGCGACAGCTATGAGTCAGTTCCAACTTGAGGGTAATGAGTCAGTGAACTAATGCAAGAGGCCCTGGTGGCGCAATGATTTGCTGCCCAGCTGCTAAAGGAAAGGCTGGCTGGCAGTCCATAATCTACCACCAGCTCAGGATGTGGCAGTCTACTCTGGAGATCCTACGGAGAGTTCTATAAGCTTGTTTGTAAGTTCTATAAGTCCTAAGCTTGTCGTGAGCTGGAACTGACTGTATGGCAACCAGGGATCTAACATGGAAGCTAATGCCTCAGCCTCTGTTGTGGTTGATAAGGCTTCCTGAGTCGACTCTGATTCTTAGCCACTCTATGTATAACACAGATCAAAACTTTGCTCAGTCCTGCACTATCCTCAAGTGGGAAGGAAATGAATGGGGCCTAGAAATTTGAAAACGTAAGAAATGACATGTTTAATTATGTTGCATAGACATTAGACCGTAAATACTGATTTTCTTCTTAAAGGCCAATAGAATTAAGAAAGAAGGCCAGTGAGAAGATGGAATGAGGTGGGAAGGAATGGGGTAGAGGACTGTTAGGGCATCTTGGGACAGATAATTCTTTGTTGTGGGCAGCTGTACACAGGCTAGCAAAGTCCTTGGACTCTACCACTAAGTGCCTATCACAAACTTCCTCCTCAGTTCTGAAAACAAAAACTGTGTCCTGATATTGACAAATGTCCCCTCGCTGGGGTGAGGGGGGATAGGCAGCAAAACTGTCTTTTGTTCAGATTGGTGTCTTAGCTGCTAATACAAAGTCTGGCAGTTCAGATTCACGTGGAAAGCACAAGAAAGATGATGAGATTTAGTTCAAGAAATCAGCCACTGCAAACTCTGAAAACAGCTCTATCTAACATTCCTGGGTATTTATGAGCTGGGAGCAAAGTGATAGGAAAAAGTTTGTTTTGGGTTGGTTTTCATAGATTTCGTTTTTTAAAAAACTTGGCTCTAAATGCATTGTTTTGGTAATACTAAATTATGGAAAAAGAAGCTAGCATTACGAAAGAAGTTACACTAGAATCCACTAAGACATTTCTTTTCAAACACCTCTCCCTCTTCTTACCCAGCCTCCACGTGTGTGTCCTATAAGCCCCCTTCCCTTACTCCCAGGTAAGTGTGGATAGCACAGAAACTTACCACCTAAAAATGCACAATCATAATGGCTGCAGGTCTTGTTCATGCTCCGGAGGAGAAGGCTATTGCCAGTCTCTTCCTGTGACACGTGGAACACTTCGTTTAGGGGTATTAACAATGTTCCTTTATTTTCTTGACCCAAAAATTTTTCAATGGGCACTCCGAAGCACGTGTTGATGGTTAGCAGGCTAAGCTGGTCATTAACAGCTTCAGGTCTGTTTGAGTATGCCAAGGTGAAACGGCCAAACCTGGCTTGGTCCAGCTCTCCGAAGAAAAACGAGGTGCTCTGGTTGGTAATATACACCGCCTTTTTGTAAGCATCCTCACAGGGGCTTCGGAGCAACTGCAGGGCTCTTGTTAGGTAAAAATGAAAAGCTTTGAACTGGAAACTATATATATAATCTTCTCGAGATTGGCCAGCCATATTCACAGCCTCGTTGAACATGTGGTAAAAGGGAGTTTGCTCTTGAGCTTGAGAAATATATGCCGTCAGGGCTATTCCATGGTTCTCTTTAAAACTCGCGGGGAGAAAAAGCTGTGTCTTCTGAGTTTCCCATTTGGCTTTTGCACTTTCCCACACAGTCTCCAAGAGTGGATGGCTTGATTTTTCCTCTTTCAGCAGCTGGGGAACATATTTGATCTCCATCCTGTCAGAGCATTTCAGGTATTCATCATCAAATGCATTCTCGGCCATGTCTAATATTTCCGCCTTCACCTTCAGAGAGAAAGGAAATGAATATTCTTGAAATAAGACATCTGCTACACATCCTTTTCTCTTGCATTACTACTTTCTCTACACCCTTTTATCTCCTGCCAATAATCTCTCCTTATTTAGAACTAACTTTTGATTTGTTTTTATGTAGGAAGTGTATTTCATTGCTATCAGTACCTTTTCTCAGTTACACATAATTGCAGGAAAAAGTAAATGTCAGTGGATGAGGTATTTGGGTAGTGTTGTGACTATAAAATGTTCATTTGAACACTGTGGCACAGAGAGAAGAGTACTGAGTGAAACTGAAGAACTGGTGGCAATCCCAGCTCTGTGAGCAACATTCAAAAGCAGCTAAAGTTCTTCAACCTCCTAATCCTTTTGTGACCTATGAAGCACATATATTGTCTACCAACAAAAAGTTTCACGAGAAGCTGGTATACCAGGTGTAGTTCCTAACAGAAGGGGACCTGTGACTCTGAATCCAACCCCACCAGTAGCATCATTTGAGCCCACTTATAACATGTGTGTTTCATATAACTGCTTCAAAATACCTATTAGTTAAAAAATGTACCCCTTTGTTTTAGCATGCCTTCCATAATTTAAAATGTGTGGTATCAACTGGAAATGAAAAGCAGAAAATAATTCAGTCTTGAAAGGTAGAGACAGTAAGGAGAATTACAAGTATTATATAAGAAATCCAACTCAAGTGTTACAGTCCATAAGGAGTTGTGCTAGTAGCACAAAAGTGTGCGTCTCTAGGGTTCAAATCTACCAGAAGCTAGAGGGAGACAGATGTACAATTTCCTCCCACACGATTGACACCCCACTGAAAACCCACTGGGGCACCTATGGTAGGTGCCACTTGATGGCAATAAGTTGATAGTTGAACATACACTGGCAATTACTACCCCCTTTTCTCAGGGGACACCTCACCTCTTGTCCACATGGTTTAAGTAGAACTTATTCTGCATTTCCATGTCCCAAACTAAGTAAGTGATCCAGGCTTACCAATCAAAGCACTTTTAAAAAGATATTTTTATTTTATACTGGGTTATTTACAAAGTACGTATGCATTGTTTTTCACACTGAATCTTTCCCATTTTATTTATTCCCCACTATGTGCCACCCTATGCTTACCCTTCCTCCTCCCCAGCCCATCCTCAGCCGTATGCTCCCACCCTCCTTCCCCTTGGATCCTCATACTCATTCTACAATAATGGTCTTACACAGTACTTGTCCTCATGGGACTGAGTGAGTTCACTTAGCATAATCCTCTCCTGTCCCTCCCAAGTTAGGTAATGATTTACAAAATCATTGCTCCTGCGAAGTACTCCATCATGTGAATGTACTATAATTTTTCAATCTGTTCAGCTGTCGTTAGACATTTGGTCTGTTTTCACGTTCTTGCAGTGGTGAATAATGCTGCTATGAACACCGGTGTACAAGTCTCTGTTTGTGCCTCAGTTCTCATTCTATCAGAGCACTCTTGAAGGGAGAAAAGGGCCCTTCTTCCTCTAAAATAATAAATTGTGAGAAATATACTGGCTTAGGGATACTAGCATTCAGTTCCTTCTGCTCCCAAGAAAAATCCTTTCTGGAAATAAAGCTATTTCTTTGGTTTCTAGTACAGTCAAACTTCTTAAAAGATGTCCACCCTTGCCATCTCTGTGTCATGCACCATTTTTAAAGTACTTTGTATGTATTAATTAACCAAGTTTTCATGATACCTCCTGTGAGGTAGAAACTATTAACTCTATCCTTTTAAACAGAAAGACCAAGTAACTTGTCTAGAATTGTGATATAAACCCCAAGCAGGTTAGTTCTACAGTTTGCCCTCTTAATTAAATGTTCCATTACTGCTAAAGAATAAATGTGCCTGAAGACCACTGCCTTTTTTTATGGGCATTTTGTTTTACAGCATTAGTTACACTAATTAATGTAATTAATTACAAGAAGCTCACTATCAGATGTGAAAAGCAGGCCAGGTGCTGATTGTGGAACAGACAATCAACTACTCATATGCAAGTTGAAGCTGAAGCTAAAGAAAATGAAATCAAATCCATGGGAACCAAAATATGACCTTGAGTCTATCTCACCTGAATTTCAAAGCCATCTCAGGAACAGGTTTGAGGCTTTGTACACCAATGAGCAAAGACCAGATGAATTGTGGGAGGATATCAAGAATATCATCCAAGAAGAGTGCAAAAGGTCATTATAAAGGCAGAGAAGGAAGAAAAGACCAAAATGGATACCAAAAGAGACTCTGAATAATGCACTAGAGCACCAAGAAGCCAAAGCAGAGGGAAGAAATAAAGATGTTAGGAGCTGAAGATTTCAAAAGGCAGCACTGGAAGACAAAGTAAAATATTACAATTAAATGTGCAGGGAGCTGGAGTCAGAAAATCAAAAGGGCTAAACTCACTCAGAAAGTCTTAAGTGGAAGGAACTGAAGAATAAATTCAATCCTCAAGTTGCAGTACTTAAGGAATGCTTTGGGCAGAATATTAAAGATTCAGGAAGTATTAAAAGAAGATAGAAAGTATACAGAGTCATTGTACCGAAAGGAATTGCCAGACACAGGAGAATTTAATGAAACAACATTCGAGCAAGAGCCTATTGTGATGAAGAAGTTCAAGCTGCTTTGAAAGAATTGGCAAAAAGTAAGGCCCCAGGAATTGATGGTATGCCAATTGACATATTTCAACTAACAGATGCTGCCCCCTAGACGTGCTCACCAAGTTGTGTCAAGAAATCTGGAGGACAGCTACTTGGCCAGCTGACTGGAAGAGATCTATATATGTTCCCATTCCAAAGAAAGGTAATCCAAAAAAGTGCAAAAATTACCAAGAAATATCATTGATATCACATGCAAGCAAGAGTCTGCTGAAAATTATCCAAACCCAACTTTAACAGCACATCAAGTGCAGGCTGGGTTTAGAAGGAGTCGTGGTACTAGGGATATTGTAGCTCATGTTAGATGGATCTTGGCTGAAAGCAGGGAGTACCAGAGCAATGTCTGTATTTCTCTGATTATGCAAAGGCGTTGACTGGATCACAACAAACTGTGGCTAACTCTGAGAAGTATGAGATCATGCTAATGCAAAAGCCATACTTGGACCAGGAGGCATTTGTCAGAACAGAGCAAGGAAACACTGTATGGTTCAAAATCAGGAAGGGTGTATGTCAGGGATGTAGCCTGTCTCCAAACCTTTTCAATCTATATGCAGAATAGATCATCTGGGAGGCTGAGTTGAGGAGGAATGTGGCATCAGAATTGGAGGAAAGTTCATCAATAACTTGCATTATGCAGATGACACAACCCTGCTTCCTGAAACTGAGGAGGACCTGAAGTCCTTGCTACAGAAGATCAAGGACTGCAGCCTTCAATATGGAATGAAGCTCAACATCAAGAAAACAAAGATACGCACCTCTGGGCCTATTGGCAGCATTATGATAGATGGTGAAGAGATTGAGATAGTTAACAGCTTTAGTTTGCTTGGTTCCGCAATCAGCACTCTTGGTAAAAGCAGTCAGGAAATCAAGAGATGAACTGCGCTGGGAAAGTCAGCTCTCAGGGACCTCTCCAGAGTACTGAAGAACAACGATGTCAGTCTAGAAACTAAGACGTGCCTGATCCAGGCCATAGTCTTCCCAATTGCTTGCTATGTGTCAGAAAGCTGGATAATGACTAAGGATGATAGAAAGATAATTGGTAT